TATACTGCTTTGGACTTTGATTTACATTACTTTGAATTTTATTCATATTAGCTGGACTACAGCCAGCTTTGGCGCAACCTTCATTTGTCTTGTTTGTGTATTACCTTTGTCTATAGAGCTTAGAGGGAGTCCTATCTCAAGGTTTGCTTCCTCCTAATTCCATATTTATAGAATTGGTTTATTTTAGCGCTGTTCCTTTTGTTTTGTATATGCTACAGTAATGATCGGACCAGATAGACCAGCCTTGCTCCCACCGTGCATCAATCAGTCTTGGGCGCCTTTGACCCTGATGCCAGTTCATCTGTTGCCCTTCCTTGCATCACACCCCACAAGTCTTGTCATTTTGGACATTCTCTGACCAAGCCATCTAGCCATCACTATTTGGTCCTTGTTAAAGTCACTCAGATCTTTTCACTTGCCCATTTTTCCTGCTTCCAACACATAAAATTCAAGAACAGACTGTTCACTTGCTGCCTAATATATCCCACCCCTTGACAGTTGCCATTGTAACAATATAATCTGTGTTATTCACGTCACCTGTCAGTGGGTTTATATCAGTGTATATACTGCATTGTTTGAGTATGTTAGCTTGAGAAATGCTTTTTTTGGGAGCCACAACGGCGCTGATCCTTAATACTGCGACATCAACAGGTACACCATCCCCGCAACAATGTCCCTACTGCAACATCAACAGTTATACCATCTCCGCAACAATGTCTCTACTGCAACATCAACAGGTATACCATCCCCGCAACAATGTCCCTATTGCAACATTAACAGGTTTACCATACTCGCAACAATGTCCCTATGGCAACATTAACAGGTATACCATCCCCGCAGAAATGTCCCTACTGCAACATCAACAGGTATACCATCCCTGCAACAATGTCCCTATGGCAACATCAACAGGTATACCATCCCCATAACAATGTCCCTACTGCAACATCAACAGTTATACCATCTCCGCAACAATGTCTCTACTGCAACATCAACAGGTATACCATCCCAGCAACATTGTCCCTACTGCAACATCAACAGGTATACCATCCCTGCAACAATGTCCCTACTGAAACATCAACAGGTATACCATCCCCGCAACAATGTCCCTATGGCAACATTAACAGGTATACCATCCCCGCAACAATGTCCCTACTGAAACATCAACAGGTATACCATCCCAGCAACATTGTCCCTACTGCAACATCAACAGGTATACCATCCCAGCAACATTGTCCCTACTGCAACATCAACAGGTATACCATCCCCATAACAATGTCCCTACTGCAACATCAACAGGTATACCATCCCCGCAGCAATGTCCCTACTACAACATCAACAGGTATACCATCCCTGCAACAATGTCCCTACTGAAACATCAACAGGTATACCATCCCCGCAGCAATGTCCCTACTGCAACATCAACACGTATACCATCCCCATAATAATGTCCCTACTGCAACTGTATACCCTCCCTGCAACAATGTTTTTATTGCAACTTCAGCATGTATAAGCTAGACTAGGTGAAGGGTACAACAGGAGTGATTTTATTTATATGCAGTAACAAGGGTTTACAATCACATATTCCAGGGGCATTCCCTGCTGGACCTAAAAGGGGACAATGACAAAATGCATTCTGCAGCTACATTGTCTCTCAGGTCCAGGGCACTCCTACATAAAATAATATAATCTTTCCCCTGTGCCTGGGAGATAATTGAGTCAAGCACTATATGAAACTCAATTATCTCCAAACCAAAAAAAAACAAAACATTTCCACAAAACCCAGAAAGTACCCCAAACATCATGGAAATCCCACAAGAATTATATCCCCTGATAGCCCTGATCTGGGGGACCAACATATTCAAAAATCACCTAGATTGTTTCAGGGGTTCGGGAGTTCCATGGGAGTCTTAATTTGGCTGACCGCACACGAGGATCCTGCCCAGAATGAGTTCCATGAAATTTGGCTGTGCGGTCGGTCTCTTTCGGGAAGTCTAAAGAACGAACAAATCCACAAACTTTTCCCCTGGCTTATAGGTAGTGTTTATTCCCCTAGTTTGTGGGAACATACCTACTGAATATCGCTCTCCTGGCTGGTCGGTGAAAAGAAGCAGGCATTTGCGAAATTGACCGGCGTTCGGGAAGTTGAGTGTCTGATTTTAGTTCCAGAAACTCTACGACCAAGTCCTGCTGCCTCCTTTCGTGCGAAAAGATGGAGCACTTGATTTGCGGTCTTCTTTGTAGTTAATGAGCCAGGGGATGCTTGGTGTCCGGTAGTTTTATCTACCCAACGAAAAAAAATCTAAATTACTAAATGCAAAGAGTAGTTTCTTCACAATGGTGTTAGTATTTATGCGTCAGGAGGGCGATACCATTTATGCGGCAGGAGGGTGATACTATTTATGCGGCAGCAAAGCGGTACCATTTATATGGCAGCACAGAAATACCATTTATGTGTCAGGAGAGCGATACCATTTATGCAGCAGCAAAGCGATACCATTTATGCGGCAGGAGGGTGATACTATTTATGCGGCAGCACGGCGATACCATTTATGCGGCAGGAGGGCGATACCATATATGGCAGCATGGTGATACCATTCATGCAGCAGGAAGTCGATACCATTTATGCGGCAGTAGGGCGATACCATTTATGCAGCAGGAGGGCGATACCATTTATGCGGCAGCATGGCGATACCATTTATGCGGCAGTAGGGCGATACCATTTATACGGCAGCATGGCGATACCATTTATGCGGCAGTAGGGCGATACCATTTATACGGCAGCATGGCGATACCATTTATGCGGCAGTAGGGTGATACCATTTATACGGCAGCATGGCAATACCATTTATACGGCAGCATGGCGATACCATTTATGCAGCAGGAAGTCGATACCATTTATGCAGCAGGAGGGCGATACCATTTATGCAGCAGGAAGTCGATACCATTTATGCAGCAGGAGGGTGATACCATTTATGCAGCAGGAGGGTGATACCATATATGCGGCAGC